TTCAGCTTATTATCCGCTTTGATATTTTGAATTAATGATACTAAGACTGTTTACTTGTTGCATTTCTGGCATGTCTTAGGAGTCTTGAGCTATTTATAGTTTTCAAAAAAAATGTATTTTGTGACAAAAGTTACATCCAAGTGTGAAATCAAAACACTGTTAAAAATGTAAACTAAATGTGTTTTCAAGTGTGTTTCTAAGAAATTTATATAACTTACAAGAAATCTAAGCTCCCGCTATTCAATTTGTTTCAGTTTCAGAAGAGCGGCCTTGCTGAAATACAAAATGCTTTGGGCATTAGTGGAAAATGAAATACTTCCAAGTCTTATTCCCAGCTGTTGAACGCATTAAATTCTTAAGTGCCACGTAACAAGTATTTGAGTTCTTACTCCCTGTTGTATGGAAAACAAAAAGCATGAATATATTAAATGTTTAACACTAGGAATCATGAAGTGAAAATAGCCTTTTATATGCATCAATATTAACAATTTTTCTCATTTTTATTTCCCTAAGCTTGTCTATTTATGCATGTTTATTTGAATTGAAAGCACACGTCCTATGAGACTTATATTTCCTTGGTGTGGATAAAATGAGAGTTCCTGTGGCCAGGATTCTCACCTGGCCCTGGTTGACTAGCTCACTGCACACCTGTGAGCAATACATGTCTATATAAAGAGCTCCGCCCAGTGCTCTGGGTGCAACATGGTGGCAGGGCTGCAAGGCTGCAGGAGAGCAGAGCAGAGCAGAGGCCCAGAGATGGCTGTGTGGGATGACTGTGCAGACAGAGGGGCCTAGAGGCAGAGACCAGCTTGCTGCAAGCAGACTCGCTCTGAGTGAATGGGATTTTAGTGACTGACCTGCCACCTGGAAATAAAGTTGGATATAACCCTTTCACCCCAAGAATGTTTTGCTGTCAATTTCTTTGGTCACACTGAATCCATAGTGAACTTGTGGGGGCTGAAACCCATTGGCAAGACACTTGGATAAGAAGCAACTACTGTTAGCCTAATAGTAAGCCTGATTTGGGCTGATTTCAACAGACAATGAAGTTTTGTTTTTGTTTTCTCCATCTACCTTTATATCTCCTATTACCTAAAGATGTGGCTTTCTGAATTCTTTATAACATCACTCAAAACTTATCTCAGACTAGCATAACAATTGACTTGTCCTTACTTGTGAGAACACATTCATGGCACAATAACACAATGAGGACAAGAAGCAGACTGGGGGCAGGGCCAGACATAGGTAAGCCACCATATTTTACACCAGTTCACCACATCCAACTGTTTCAGCATGGCCAAAGGGGGTCAGAAGAATTTGTGTTCAAATTCAGTTCATTATGGGTTCAATTGTTTTTATCTCCAAAGTAAAAATAATACCTAACTCACAGGATTTTTCTAAGGACAAATCAGATCCATGAGTAAATACTAAATGTTAGCTATAATTAAATATTCATAATTATGTGTAAGTGAATGTGTAACGTAAAATTGGGATCTGTTTCCTTCTGACTATTCCTGAGCTCTAAACAAGCATTATTAAATGTACCCCTCAACAAGCTTGTATCAATTTGCATTACAACAGAAAGTATGGGCAAGCCCATTTACCAGCTTCGGTACAAACACTAAGTAGTGTTACCTTATATAAACACTCACTTGACAGATTCAATATTAGGTCTTAATTTTCATGATGATTCATGACATAATTATATGTTTATTGACATTTATATTCTATCTACTGCTGTCCATGTCACTTGCCTATTTTATAAGGATGTTCTCTTATATTTTAGGATGCTTCATTTATAAGGAATAGAATTTGTCATTTGTTAAAATACTTTTTCTGCCTTTTCACTTATCTCTAATTTTGCTTATGGTAATTTTGGGACATATGGAAGCTTCAAATATTCAAATAATCCAAATCTTTTTGCCTTAGGAATAAAAAGATTTACTGGCATGTTCGCCTAATACTAAATGATTTGGGTTTTTTAATGTATTTAATCAATGTAGAATTAATTATTGTTATATTTTGTTATATATAATAATAATAATAATAAGATATTCCTTTAATTTTCATATTGTCGGCCATTTTCCCCATTACTATTTATCAATCTGTCTCTTCCCCACTGATATAAAACTATACTTCTACTGTATACTTCATTACATACTTTTTAGCATTATAAAATTCCTATTCTACTGACTTTTGTTTCTTTGTCATAACTGTGTTAATGTTGTCACTTTATTGTGGTAGGCAGAATTCTAAGATTGCCCCAAGATCACTTGCTCATTTTATACACATCTTCTCCAAGTCATTCATTTAAACAGTAATCTATGTACTGCTTTGAAAACATTTTGCAGGAGGTGACAAATAGTTAACCTTAAAATAGGGAGATTATTCAGGTGGGTCTGCCCTAATTACATAAGCTCTTTAAAAGCAGCCAGTTTTCTGTCTGATCTGGCTGGGCTCAAGGGGAGGAAGTTAGAGAGATGTGTTCTGGTTGGCTTGAAAGAAAGCAAATATCCATCCTATGAACTGCCCATAGGACCACATGGCAAGAAGCAGCAGGCAGCTTTTAGGAACTGAGAGTGGTCCCAGCTCGCAGCTAGCTGAACGTCAGGGCCTCAGTCCTACAGCCAAAAATGAATGAACTTGGGAGAGATTCCTGAGCCCAGATGAGAGCTCAGCTTGGACGGCATCTTGATTTCAGTCTCATGATATCCTGAGCAGAAGACCCACCCGTACCTCACCAGACCTCTGACTTACAGAACTGTGAGCTGATGATGAATGAAATATCATTTAAATCCACTAAGTTTGTGGTAGTTTGCCACACAGTAAATAAAGACCTAATATATTTACAATACATTTTCACAATCAGTACATCAAGGCCTGATAAAATCTTTTTCAAACATACTATCTGTTCTCATTCATCACACTTCCAGAAGCACTTCAAATTTTCTCAACAAAAAATTTCTATTGACCTTCCACAGTGTCCTTATGTTAAATTTGTGGATTGCATTGAAGATGGAGCCACATAGCCTGGAGGCTCACTGTCTCTCTCCTTTTAGGACCTTGTCCAAAGATCCGGCTCAGTAGACCTGCAGTCGCACACTGGAAAGAGCAAGCTGGTATCAGCCACTGAGCTCCAGTGGGCTCCCACTTTCAAACAAGGCTGCTTTCTCAACCACGAGGCTTGTACTCTTAAAAAATTGCCTCCCAGAACACAATGCTCATTAAGAGAAGTAGGTTCGCCTATCTGCCAGCCTGTACATCTTTTCCCAATCAATCCTATTTCCTATCTGCCAACAAGGCAGCGTCTGTCAGTGACCCCCTTGGCACAACCCAAGTCTCTCCTCACATATTGTTCCTGCCACTCCACAAACTGCTCTTGGTCACCCCCACTACTCAGTTCATACATCTGGGGCCCTTTGCATCAAGTCTTCTGATTGAAGACCATGGTGCTATTTAGAGTCATTTGTTTTTCAGTAATGTTTCATAATTATTTTTAAATAGATTACTACTTATTTTTAGCCTTCTTCTAAATAGCTCTCAAAGCTAGCATGAATGCTTTCTTCCATTTATAAGTAACCTGTGCTGGTATAGAAAGAAGTTTTAGGACCTGTATATTTTTCTTTTGATAGAACACTATTTCAGTGTTTACCAATAATTAAGGTGTAAGTTGATGAAAGAATAGTTTTTGTATTTTTAAATGGGACCATTTGTTCAGGGAAGTCCTCAGATCCTGAAAGAATGAATCTATAAAGATGTCATTCAGACCATAGGAATGTGACTGCAACCTTTTATTAGTACTTCTAAGACGTGTGCCTGCTGTTGGGGTAGTAGACAGCATGAAAGGGACAGTTGTCCTAATCCCTTAACTTCTCCCGTGGCTAAGGTCACTTCACTTCTGAGAGCCTAAAGCTCAGGATTATTAACCAGACTATACCTTCTCCTTTGCAATGGGTTTATGGCTCCCACAGGCAACCTGGGAGCCACTGTCCCTTAGTCAAAGTCGACTATATCTTTCCACTCCCAACCCAAAGAAATTACAATTTTTGTTGCTCTCTGGATCAGTCTTTCCTTAATATGCCAACATTAATTAATTTACCTCCAATGTTTCCATTATCTTCATAGCCTTTATGATGGGATAAATGTGAAGCTCCTAGACCTTGCAGTGCAATAAAGGAGAATGTCCCTGTACAGGCTCTGCAAGAATTGCAGGATCCAGAATCCATACCATTAGATGTGGCTTGCTAAGTAGCAAAATGAATTCCTTAATTTGTAGATAAATTTGATGCCAGTGCTGAGATCACTGCTGGCATAAAAGGCAGTGAACCAAAGAATTTTAGCTGTACTTCTATGAGATGCATAAGAAGCCAGAGGAAAGCATGTTCACCTACTTTACCCCGTATTTTGCACATAATTTATCCACTACTTAGCAGATCAAAGTGAAAGCAGTCTTGAATGGTAACGATCATTTTTGCCCATCTCTAAAGTCAGATCAGATTCTGTGTTCTGAACAAGATTAACTCTATTGCGGGCTCAGATACCTCACCTTGTTTTCAATATCCTCATATGTATTTTTAATTCAGTTGATTCCCCACCTCATTTTCTAGAAACTTTCTATAGTCTTACGTACATTGCATAATCCTAACTCTGGACAAAACACTTTTCTGTTCTACACTAACTCTTACCTGTTTCTCTCACTTTCTTATCAGTAACTGACATTTGGCCTAGTGCATTCTCTGCTGTTTTCCCATGGATCCTTACCACTCCGACTTCTTGCAACTTAGTGGAAAAAGTGGACGGGAACAGCTTGGTCCTAGAGCTACCTCTAGACCACTAATGAAGCACCCTTTCTCCTCTGCCCCTCACTTAAAGTTCATACTATTCCTATTGGCTTAAAAAGAGTTAAGATATAACTGCATTTTAGAATGTAACTGACCAGGATATAAATGCATAGTAAATTTTTAATAAACAAAAAGTAAATTAATAACCACAATAAAATATGAAAACAAAAAGGATTTTATTTTTGCAGGAAACTCATTACCTGTAAAATATTGTGGAATAACCTGGAAATAATAAAGTTTAAAAGCCATGTGAAGTTGTATATTAATCTGCACAAAATTATTCCTTATAATTGTCTTCAGTAGAAATTATCCATGGATTACATAGTTAACCCCTTTGAAGAATATAGAAATAAGTACAATGCTACCTTAAATTTTCCTAACAATCTGCTATGGTGCATATGCTTTAAAGAAAAAGGAAAATTCTTTTAAAGGGCAATAGACTTCAAGAAGACAAGTTGCAATTCACTTAAAACAGATTTTATCGCATATTGCTAATATAGTTAGTATTGCTAATATAGTTGCATAATCCTAACTCTGGACAAAACACTTTTCCAGAGAATGTCCCTGTACAGGCTCTGCAAGAATAAACCCATACACTGAGCCATGTTCTCTTGTACAAAACACTACAAAATCAATGATTTCTAATTAAACCCTTAACACTAGATGTCATCAACAGGTAAATTTTGGCTAATATATTTGAAACACCCTGTAAAAAGAGAAACTATGTTAAATCTGTTATATATTATCAAAAATGACTATGGAACATGCATTAAAATTTAAAATGAGGTTACTTAAAATATGGATTGTAAGTTCTTCTAATTTTCATGGACACAGATTTGATCTTGACAAGTGAGTTGTTTATTGTCCATGTGCCCCATTGGATTCCAGTTGCAAGCAGTTTTCCAGGGAAGTGATGAATGCCATTCAGATTTGCTAGGCCACACTTGTTGAACCACCAGCCGGTGTTGTTACTGAGGTGGCTGCAGCTCTTCACAGACTGACCATTGATCAAGCATGCAGGGCGACATCCATCATTGTCAATATCTGATGTGCTAAAAGGCATTGCATTTTGATTATCTTCTTTACTGAAGCCCCGGAATGCATCACCTGGGTAAAATATATTTTTTTAAATGACAAAGTTTAAATTCACTTTTGGTAATTTTGATAGACTTTTCCCAGCCTATTATGCAAAAGCATTGCATCGAGAAGATTTAGATTCTTTTCCACTAGGCATCATGTTAAAATCTCTCCCCCAGATTATAGTATATGAAAATCTGGAAATTAATGCCTCAACATGATAGGCATTCTTAAGCAGACATTTGATATAACATAACCACCAAAAAGGGAAGTTTGTCTGTCTAGACAGAATCAGATCATTTAAGTCCAAAAATGATGCTGCATAAGCCTGCCATACTTAGAGGAAGGGTAATATGGTATTTGGTAATTTAGAAAAAGAAAATAACTTACACACAAGTTTTCATACCACTATTGTTTGACATCATTTTAGACAGAGATGTATAGATGAAGGTAAAACTTGTACACTTAAGAAACTTTAATTTGTAACTGCAAAAGTGGTTTGGTTTTATTTAGTGTCCACCAAATATATATAAAATGCCCAATGCCCTCAAGAAAAAAAATCAGCTGCACTACTGAGGTGTGCCTTTTTTCATGGCTCTCCCAGATGACATATGGACTAACTGCATAGTAGTTAAAACAGTATCATTTTTAAATGGTTTACACTAGATTTTGTATGTACAATATCCCTGATACTTGCAATAATCTTTAAAGATTAAGTATTTTGGCCAAGGCAACCCAGGTAACTAAGTCGGGGGGTAAGAGCTATGTTGTGTTTTATTAAAACTATATAAATAAAAGATTCTAATTTGTCCCATAGAAATCATATCTAGATTATACCCATAGGTAAACTTTGCTAATTATATTTGAAAGACTAACTAAAAAGTGAAGCTGTGTAAAATCTATGAAGAATTAAAAGCCCACCTTTATGTTCTAGATGTTTGGATTCCAATTTTTTGAGATCTGTCTTTGTGGAGCCTGAGAACTTCATTAACAATAGTGGCTTATCCTATACCCCAGCTCTGCTCTTCATGGGAAACAAAATGCCCACTTTGCAGGTATTTGCAGGGAGAACATAATTCTCAACACCCATGTAATACAATACCTTTCTGAAGTTCAGATGACAGAGACAGCACTTATGGGGCTTTGCCTAAATTATATGATCCCTCCTCAGATACTCTCCCTGGATTGTAGTATACCAACCGTCAGAAGGATCATACTTCACATGGGCTCCCCACTGGGTTTTATTTAATTAAGAATTTTTAAAATACAATGCATAGATCTATTTTTTAATTGCCCATTAAAACTCACTGCCATGTCTTCTGTAAGAGTATACTAGAGAATAAAACACTTTGTTTTCTCTAAGAACCCAGAGAAATTTCCCTCAAGTTATAGAACCAGGAATATTTGTCTTTCTCATGGAACAACTGTTCTGCTCTAATGTTCAAATTTCATAATTCTATTTTTCTCTGAGCTCAAAGTCAAATTTGTGACTCATGTCTACCACTCACTGATCACACTTAATCCCCTGGGCTTATCTGTGTCTTTTTTTACATATTGACAGCTTTTTCTTCATTTTGATGATATTATGTAACCAACAGTTGAAACTTACTTAACAACCTTATTGAGAAAAAGCAAAGTAGGGCATGGAAAAATTTGAAGGTTCCGTAATGAAAGAAAATGTTCCCATTATAAGCTGTATCTTCTAGTTAGATCCTACCTGTCTTCTAGAGAAACCCCACATAAACTTTTACTAACATAGTATCCTCCAGATTTAGATAATTCTTTACACTTTTAAAGAGGAAGGATTAAAAATTGTATATTGTAACTCTTTCAAATTTTCCCTATATATCAAGATTTGATTTCAGACTTTCACCTAATATTCCCAGCCTAAGGGCCCCCAGACGTCAGAGATTCCAACCATACCAGACAACTCCTCGTGCCCAGGAATTTTCCTCCCTCTGTGCCTTGACTCAAGCTGCATTTGCCAGAAGCCTACCCATTCCTCCAAGTACAGATCAGCGCTTCTCAGCTATAAGGATGCCAACATATCCATCTGGTGAATACAAATACCTGGGCCCAAACATACTGAATCAGATTCTGCAGGAGCATGAACTTTCAAAAAGCTTCCCAGATTGAATCTAACATTAATCCCTTGTTGAAAACTACACTTTGCTGAAGATTATCTGGATGCAGTCAATTGGAGTGACTCTCTCCTCTTTAACTCCCAAAGCTCTGTCAGTATTCTGAATTTTTGGTTTTATTTATCTTTCCCTCTATATTGTGATCACTTAAGGAGCTGGGAAATTATCTCATTCATTTTTGGATTTCTATACTGACTGTACACAATGAACAAGCACCATAATGAGCAACAGCAGGAGAATGGAATTTAGTATTAACTCAAATTTAAATTTTCAGCTTCAAAATGTAAATTTAACATTAAGTATTCCGACATTCTAGCAAATTAAATTTACTTGGAAATGAGTAGATTCACTGAGGTGAGGTATAGAAAAAAAAAAATACTAAACTACTTGTTCTATCAACCTGGGTTCATGCCCTGGCTCAGATGTGTTGAGCTGGGGATCTTGGGCAAGTCACTTAATCTTTCAGGTTTCTTCACCTGTAAAGTGAGAAGAGTGGAGATCAGCTCAAAATTCTATAACTTATAAATGCCAGCCTCTCAGAACAAGAAAATATAAATAATAACTTCCCAGCCTGCCTCACAGACTAAGGAATCAGCTGCAGTTAGATATATGGCAAATTGTTTCAAAGAGTCTGAAGCACTTCAAAATCATGAAGTGGAGCAACAATCATAGCAGAGTTTCAAAACTCAAGACTTCGCTGGTTTTCTCATTCCTAATCTATTCTGTTATCAGTTTTGTTTCACAGGCTAAGAAAAATGTATCACTTTTACCTTCATCTAATTGAGTCATTTACATTTAAGTCTTCTGGATAATTTTAGGGACGAAAAACTTACCAGCATTTCCTGAATACCGTCCTATGTGCATTTTGAAAAATCTCGTTTCATCCTCTAGCCAAAAATTATCATATGATGCATAAGCCAATGTGTCATCTTCAGATTCCAATGCCACATATAACATAAAACTGGTATTTTTCTGATTTACTATATAAAAAATCTTTTTCAGTCCTAGCCAAAATTCACCTGTAAGAAAAAAGTTTTTAAAATATATTTTAATACAAATTAAAATAACCCTTTATTACTGAGTGTTTGATATTCTTTAGTGTTTCAATAATGCTGAAATGGCATTGTTTGAGGGACAGGATGGCCCTAGCTCAAATTATCAGTGTGCCTAATTTTTATATAGATAGAGATAGATAGGTAGGTAGGTAGATAGATAGATAGATACATAGATAGATAGATAGATAGATAGATATAGATATAGATGTATATTTCCACTTCTACTTCACTAGACTGAGGATAACTACACACTGTTTCATTTTTATCTCCCAAAATTAAATTCAAAAATTCATTTAAAGATTAAGTAAAAATTCAAGTTTTACCTTAAAACTTGTCAACAAAAAGCCAGTTGAAATATTTTGACAGAAAACAAAATGATGTGTACTGGGTGAATGTAAGAGGTTTAACCTCCAAATCAGCAGCTCCTAAAGACACAGTTCCTGATATGTATATTTCCACTTCTACTTCACTAGACTGAGGATAACTACACACTGTTTCATTTTTATCTCCCAAAATTAAATTCAAAAATTCATTTAAAGATTAAGTAAAAATTCAAGTTTTACCTTAAAACTTGTCAACAAAAAGCCAGTTGAAATATTTTGACAGAAAACAAAATGATGTGTACTGGGTGAATGTAAGAGGTTTAACCTCCAAATCAGCAGCTCCTAAAGACACAGTTCCTGAAAATGCTCAGGTGAAATTAATTTTTTCTGTCTTTGAGAATAATGCTTTGAGAACAAATTTTTCTTTGTTAAAATGTTACCTATGAATGAAAGTGTAATGTAGCAACACTGGAGTATCCCCAGATTTCTGGTCAGTATTTCCAAGATAATTAAAGATCCAGGATGAGTTTTTAAACTCCTTAATTCAGACTGCATACCTCTTACATGTTCTAGCCAACAGTTTTTTACTACCCACCTCCACTGTGGTATAGCCTAAATGTGTACACCCCTGCTCTGAAATATATCCCTGAATCCTAAATTTACTGAAAGAAGTCAGAGTCTAGTCAAAACAAACTTCAAAGAGTCTGGGGACAGTATGACAACATTCAAATTCTTAAAATTATAGGTAAGATATTATGTCTCTCTCCAGGGCTTACAGAGGCATTTTAGCTACACATCCACTTAGAATGGAAAAGTGTCCTGAAGTAGTAAAGGAAGACACGTCTGTTTAGTGTCTCGCAGTCTATGTCACTCCAGCTGAAGCACCCTTGCCAACTTGCCCCTCTATCCGAACCCCAAATTTAATTTAACACTATAGTTTTCTTAATCCTAGGTTTACTTTTTAAAATACACCAAGTACAAAGCAGTCTGTTTACATGAAGTATACCTACCTGAAGACCTTTCTGTCAAAACTCAGATAATTTTGCCATATAAATATGCATAAAGTAAGGAAGATGACAAGCCAGAACCTGTAGATCTCTGACTACTTAATTCAGAAAGTAGCACTCACTGGGAAATTAGAGGTAATGCTGAGAAAACCATAAGTATATTAACTATACTCTGTAGCATGATAGCTATTTGGCCTTATTCATAACATTTTATTACATGTCGTGTCCCTTCTAAAATCACTGGCATACAGTAGGTTTTTTAGCAGCAGAACTACCACCACTTAGTAAAACCTTGGATCACATTATTATGGGATGTGAAAGATTTTAAATTATAACAGCAGTAACTTAAAATAATAGCATAAAAATGATCAAAATCACCTGCAAAAGTAATGATGATGCATGGCAATAATGTAAACAGATTTTACAATTCACCTGGGGTTTACATTTTCCAAATTTTTGAGCATGGTGATTTTTATTGATATTTTTATAAAACACTACTCCCAGTTCACATCTTTTGAGTTTGTACAGCCATATCACTCAATTCTTCACTTCATTTGCTTGAGTAGACACAACACACATCGCAAGAATTTCAAGGTCCATGACAACCCTGCCCATTCAGTTTTTCATTCTTCAAATAGTTCTTGAGAATCTGCCAGCAATCTTCTGGATTCATAGCAAATACTTAATAAATACCCAAATACCCGATTTTGAATTTTCACTCAACTCACATTTCAATAGGTGTCTAAAAATAAAGATTTACAGATCCCAATTGAAGACCCATTTATTTTAAATAATTTGGTACAGGGAAAGAGAGTAATTTAAGTCATATTTTGATATTCACAAGGATTTGCTATTTTTACTAAGGATTTGATCAATAAAGACTGTCAATAAATGTAATACCAAAAAAGAGAAACAAATAAAATTTGACCTAGAAGGTCACCAAATCCATCCAGATAATCACACCACAACCTTTGGAAATCAATTATTCCATCAATCCTTTTCTGTATCACAGTCCATCCACCTCCTCTGTAATCCATGTCACACATTACCTAAAATCAACAAAGAAAAGACAAAAAGAACAGACTATTATTTTTGTTCTTTGATATAAAACTCATGCTTCACCCTTAAGCCTAGAAAAAGAGTATATACTTTCACTGAAAGTTCCAACGTAATTGTATAACATTAACATATTCAGATTTTTGTAGTCTCTAGAAATAATATTATTACAAAAACAAGCTCATACCTAACATAATTATAGTCTCCGTATCAGTCTTTTTAAATTTATATTAGTATTTGCAGAATTTTAAGGTTCTCCTCTTATTCCTCAATTATAAATACTTTTCAGTTGAGTAATAACAGTACTAATCTGATGTGGCAGAGTCATACCTTAATTTACAAATAAACTTTTCCTTTAAATTAAAACACTGATTTTTTTTTCTAAGTGTTAAATATGCCCTTGTTCCTGTCTCTAACTGCTCTTCTCTCCAAAAGTCTGAAAGGCCTGTGTTCACACTGCAATTTTCAGACAGAAAGGCAAGATCTCTGCCCCATCGCATTAGGCATGTGTAAGTGCATCCTTTGGTGCTGTACAAAATGCTCCTAAGAGGACAATTGTAGGGGACCCTTAGAGGTGACACTGGGAAAAAATCAGGGCAATCCTCCTCCCCATCAGAAACTTCTGGCACGCAGAGAAAGACAGTGTGGAGGCAGTTAGGGAACTACCACTTTCCCACAGTTATGAAAGGTTATGCATCCCACTCTTCACAAAATTAGAAACCTTCCCTTTCCACATCTGTTCAGGCTCATTTTTTAATCTGTAGCCAAAGTAATTTAGATCATTTTAAATTTATTTCCCACCTAGTTCCTAAATTTTTGACATCTTGTCAATAGATGTCAAAAAATAATGTAATTCTAAGACAAGAAACTGGTAGTATCGACTTAGAAAAAAAGTTATTTTATTGTGTAATAAAGACTATCAGTAAGGTGTGATACTGGTATCACAAACTTTAAGTACAAAAAATAATAATAATGATACATAATTCTAGTAGAAATTGTTTCTAGAAGTCCTAGCATAGAACTACTAAGGATAGGTGTAAGAGTAATTTATTAATCAATGTAAGAATGGGTCAGCTTCTCAATCTGTCCGACACTTTAGTGAAAGTTTTTTAAAATTATAGTTTCTCTTTCATTCCTACCCCACCCCTAAGTCAAATTATAATTTCTTATACAATCACATAAAATCATTTTCATCCAAAGAAATTATAACCATGTGTAGAAAGGGAAATCAAAGCAAGCTCCAAGGCAAAGCACACCATTATTTTCTAATATCCATATGCTAATTAAAGCAAGTATTTATATTCACAATTCTTCCTATAATACAAGGATAATAAAAGGTCTTTCACCAAATGGATTTTCTTTAGAGTGTAGCCATGAAAATTCAAATAGGAAAGTGAAAGACTCTCTAGTTCTTTTACTGGCCTGTGGTTTGGGCAAAGAATGCCAGAAAACCAAAAGTTTGAAACTGGAATTTTACTAGTTTCTTTTAAAGTTTTCAAGAAAAAAGTTGAAACAATTAAATTTTTAACATTAATTAATAAATTACCCTATCCATAAATATTAGGGTGCTTATTCTATTCCATAAAGTAAGGGAAAACTTTACCTCAAATGGGTAACTAGATCCTTCTGGGTGGATTATATATAAACCACTGGGTGTTTTGGTGACAGAGCCAATGGTATCTTTAATGTCAGTACAGTCTAAACCTAGAAAAATAAAATTAGTTATTTAGAATACCTTCAGGTATACATTTAAGACAATATTTTGTTCTATAGAGAATTAACAGTGCTATCTGAAATTATTAATACAATTTCCATTAAATTATATGATGATTTTAATCTCAATTTTAGAAATAAGGAGAAAGTACATGGAAGAACTGGGATTAAAGAATTGATGCTACAATAAATCTTCACTAATAACATCACTGTTAGTGGTTAGTATTCCATACTGTTCAAAGGTTTCATTTGGGATGAACATTTATTTAAAATATTTTATAATTATGCATTCCCTTGCCCTATAAATAATGCCCTTTCAGGAATCTAGGTTTATCTTGAGACACACACATCCTTGCCTACTGTATTCTAAACTTCCAAGACTCTGATCTATTGGGGACCACTACTACAAATAGCCAAAGGGAGAGGAGGGGAAAATCACTTTCTTTACCAAGAACAAATTGTGCTTGAGGCTACAGCCTGCACTGTTGACAGTAGTTAGAACTATAACATACTATAATTACCCTCTTCAAACCATCCCACATCCCAGGGGATTGTAAACATATTACGTGGAGATGAATATTACATTTAACTCTATGATATTTTACTTTGTATTATCTTTTATAAATGTCATAAAATAGATACAACCCTTATAAAGTCAATTACCAAGAGAAACAAACCCATGAAAGCGGAGACCCCAGAGCCAGAAGCCTGGGTTAGAATCCCAGTTCTACTCCTTACTAGCCAAGAACCATTAGCTGAATTTCTTAACCACTTTTCTGTATAAGTGATAGTATTATTAATAGTAATATTATCTACTTCACAGTGTTAATTGTGACAATTTACATAGTAAGGTTACATAAAGCACTTAGCACCTGGTATACAAAAAATATGTGGAAAATGTCATCCACAGAAAGTTAGCTATAAAAAATTATTTGCTTTTCCCCTTCATTTTCAAAAAACAGATTTGTGGCCTTTATTCTGAATTACCAAGAGACATTCTTACAGTAACTTTATGCTCAGAGATATGATAAAGGTTCACAATGAAAGACTGGTCATCGCCATCCAAACAAATATGAATGGATATTTAGAATTTTTTTAGATTTTTCTGGGCTATATATTCCTCATCTGATGATCATCATCATAGCACACTTTCATATGTATTTAGTCATTTAATCCTCTCCACCACCATATGAGGTAGATACCATCAGTTTATTGATGAAGAAACTGACAGCAAGGAAACAATGTTTCAGAGATTTGAAGTCAGGTGGTCAGACATTAAAGTCCGTGCTTTTAACCACCATCTTATACTACCTGCCTAGGGACAGTTAATAAGAAATAAAAGAGATACAATAAAATAATAAAAAATAACAAAATAATATGTGAAAGTACCCGTCTTGGAACCTGACACAGAGGAGATTCTGAGTTATTTATCCCCTTCCCTTTGTAAGAAAAAAAGATTATATACTAGGCTCTCAATAATATTTAATCACTTAGAACCTTTTGGTATTAACTCATATTTACAAGATTTATAGGGCATTTTTCTTAGAAACCCAAGCCTCTACTGTATTTTAGTACAAAAAGTACTAAATTCCAGTCTATTTCTGTCTTCAGTTTCTTACTTCTTTTCAAATTTTGTGTCCCAATTTCAAACATTTCAAAGATGTCAAAAATACTTTTTATAGGTGGGAGGAACTCTGAAAGTCTCTTTTCTTCTAACTGAAGATTAATTATTAATAAAACAGAAAGTGGAGCCCAGAATACAGTCACATAAAACTATGCTATGTTCAACAGATCTGGAATATGTGTTATACAGCCGTGGCTTTCAAATGGTCGTAAAGACCCAGTTTGTAAAAGTACACATTGTCTGGGTTGAAGTTGGCTTATTGGCAGGTATTACTTCCCCCGTCTGTTAGATAACAGTGAGCTGTGTTTTTTAAACAAAATTAAATGTACCCATCTGTCCAGGAAAATATTAAGCAATTAAAGACAAGTATGAAGAAATACCCAAATTCTTACCATGTGACTGAACTGGTCTGTGAGGAAAAGGATCCAGCTGTTTTCTAAAGACTTCTGTAGTCAAAAGGAGAACTCGATTCATGAGCTCATTAACCTAAATGCACATGCACACATTTAAGCATATTTATATTTGGATAAAACTCCTTTAACTGAATTCTAAAATTGATATCTCTAAGCCTCTTATAAACTGAGCTCTGAAATATATAATAATGCTTACTTTTCCACGATGAATTCCTGATTGCTTTAACAAAGTACAGGCATAAATAGCAATCATTAAATTCAGCACCCTTTACTTCCTGCACATTGCTTTTATCTGCCCATTTCTGCATTTGACTGTTCTTACAGAGCTTTTCTTTATATCTTGCCTGAACCACTCACTCTGCTGTAGTTTCTTAGCTGGTTCCCCTCCTTCTCCCTCTGGTCTTCCTCAAATCATCCTCCACGCCAGCTCCCAATCTGATCATTTCCTTTCCCTACTCAGACACTTCAGCGGCTCCCTGGCATGGCATGATTTAGTTCCAGTTTCCTTAAGTCAGTTTTCCTTACTCACTTCAGCCTCACTAGCCACTTCATCCCTGTATCAACTCTATTTAGTTTCCCCAGAATGGAATGCCCTACCCTTCTGCCCCCAACCTTTGTGACTTCTGAAACATTTACTCATCTTTTATGACTAAGCTCACGAGCTCTGTCACCTGGAAAAGCTTCCTGTATCTCAGATTTCTCCTTTGTGTTATTCTAACAGCATTCACAAAATTTTTTCAGTACATTTTTCTGTGCCTCTAGTCTATACCACCCTTGAATGAAGGCCTATTTTTTTTTATTGCTTTCTGTTTGCCTGAAACTTACTATAGTGCATCTAAAATAGAAGGCACTAAATAGATGGCCAGACAAGAATGCATTAAAAAATCAAATGATTTCACCCCTAGCTGTATCAATTTACATATGCAATAACAAAAAAAATTCCATACCTGATTAGATAAATAATCCAAGGAAGCTTGCTGCTCATCCATCATATTTCTTAATAGTTTTTTGGTACTTCGTGTGTAGGAAACAATAGAACTTTGCAAATTTCCTTAAACCATAACAAAAAGTACTTGCTAAAAATTATACTGCTATAGAAAATAGTTACATTGAAAAATAACAAATTTCACACAATTTTAGGTAAATATGCAAATATAGTAATATATCAATCTATCTACTCAGAATTATATATTCTAGGTAGTATTTTTTTTTGTTTAACTCAGAATTAACCAAGAAAACATGTTGTTTCAACACTGCCTAATGAAACCATGCTTCCTAATAGTTTAGATTACCTCCAAATAATTTAATCTTATATAATTGAGAAACAACATTCTGAATATCAATTCTCACTTTCTAAGATGAGAAGTACAGAAAGCAGGAGGTCCAAGACTCATCAATTCTTACTATATAAGAAAATAAAAGGCAGTAATTCCATATCATGCAAGTTAATTTTCAGAATAAGGTTTCTTTTAATTTTTCCTATTAATGCTATAATTTAATATAAATAAACTGCAAATAAACACATATGCATATAATAACCTTTAGTCAAAAGTGTTGGTTGGTTAATTTCTGATTGAAATTTTTATCTTTTCCTTTTTTAAAATGTTTTTATTTTAAAACAATCTTACTTACAGAATAGTTTCCAGAAAAGTACAAAGAACTTTTTCTTAAATCATTTGAGAGCATGCTGCCATGATGCCCTGGCCAATTCAGCGCGTATTTCTTAGACAAAAGACATTCTCTACAGCACAACCATCAAACTCAGGAAAAAACATTGACTATCATATTTTCTCAGACCTGATGCAAGTTTCTCTAATTGTATGTAAATAATCTCTAATTAATCTAACTGATGATGTCCTTTATAACCAAAGGTTCTATACATTATTGCATCATTATTCCTTTACAAAGTATTTTATTTCTGTTTCTAGCATTAAAGTTAGGATTCGTTACACATTAAACAGAACAAATTAAAGTGAACTTTTTATACTTTCTGATCTAGGAGTTAGAGTCCTGTAACAGCTGGGTCAGATCATCACCTCCTCCCTTTCTGGTCCCCTCTCTTATCCCATCCTTTATGTACATAAAATGGACAATAAAAATTACTGCACTGTTGCTAGTTTAAAAAAAAAACAAGACTTTAAAGTTTTTAATTTTTATTCTTTGCTGTACAAATTGCCTATGAGTTTGTAGTATGTCTATTGTACCAATTATTCAATATTAGTGAATTCTCCCTCAAACCTATGGTGAAATTTCCTGGTGGTTCTGCTGGAAGTAAGAAAATAGTCCTAGCTAAATTGATACACTATTACTACCAACACCCTCTGGCTTGCTCCTTCCCTCTGTGGTTAGTTGATGCCACAGGACTAAATAGAAGAAGGATCTGTTCATTTACAAAATATCCACTAAGAACCCACTAAGGCACAAAACCTCTGGCCTAGAATGATCAAGATATGTATAAAATGACTCAAAACCTAAGATGTATTTTTTCTGTGTTTAGCCTGGAAATAAATCATATACCTTTATAATTGTGGTTTTTTTAATACTTACTACACATGAAATGTTTTTCTTCTCGTGTTATTTTAGTTTTAACATCACATGATTCCTCACAGTCTTCCTTATAAATAGTATCATTATTTTTACTTTCATCTTTTGCATTAGATACATCTTCTACAATGTTAACTACTGGGGAATCCTTTACATTAGAAAAATAGAAATGCAAAAAATATATTAAGTAATTTATATGGCCTAATACACAATAAATAAGAAGACAATAGGGAAAAGTTAAGATTTCAGGATATACACAAGGTTGATCATTAGAAAAAAAAAACATAATGAACTGGTTAGTTCAAACTTCTACAAATAAATCTTACAGGTAAATTTGGTGTATGAGTAATACCCTATCTACTTATAACAGATATTTCATACTCTAGATTAGCAACCACACTGACATTGTTTTGAATAAAATTTTCTAATTTCCTAGGTAACCACTCATGACTATTTGAAATATGAAAGTTTATAGAATTTTTTTAATGCAAAGTGAATTTTTATTATTATTTAACAGATATTTCATTACCAAAGTTAACTGGAAAGTTGCTGACTAGTTTTTAACCAAGACTTGTAATTTCTTTAATTTTTCATAAGAAATTTTCATAAAAAACTTCAGAGGCAAGCCTCAGTTTATGGTTTCATAATATCTTAGCAAATCTCAACATTTCCAAATAAATACTTTTCTATAAATTATATTGGCTAGTATAATTAGTCTTTTCTAACCTCTAATATACATCTTGAAAACTGTATATCATGTTTTCCTAGACAAAATAATATTGCTGAAATTCTTACCGTAGAATGATGTACATAGTTACCTTGTATAGCTTCTCCACAAATAAAAATACATACATTTAAAAACAAGAGTGAAGTTTGAGAAAGATACATCATACTCTTCTCGGAGAAATGAAAACCTTCTTCAAATATCAGTCAGTTCTCTATGGAAAGAACTACAGTGCATAGTGTCTTCAGTTAAAAATTTCTGGAAAGTGTACAACAAAAACAGAAGCCAATACTTACTAGTTTCCACACCCTCTTTTGAAATAACACCCTTCATATAAAAAACAAGGTAGCCTCTAGAGATCCTGTCAGTTTTAAGTTCTACAAACTCTTTTTTTTAATCACTACATGTCAGCATTATAAGTCCCTGTTTTGGAACATAGGCATTAAATAAGTTAATAAATAAAACATGAACTTATAAATTCATCTAATTTGTATGAGTCAGATTTTTTTTCTTTTTTTTGGCCTTTGGAAAAACTTCCTTTGATAAGATATACCTCAAAATTGTGAACTGGCTTGCATAAAAAAATAGTAAGGAAGTAGAAATGAGCGATGAAGTATGAAGAATATTTCACTGGACCTATTTCCACAAAATACTAAGCAGAAATTTAATCAATGTGGATATACAGAGCAGATAATTCAGGCTTAAAATATGCTTTTAACTGAATTTAATTAGCAATGACGGTCTTATCAACCACATAAATACCAAATTCTTCGTGCTCTGATTTGTATGTTTCACATCTATATTACTGAAACTTCAAAAATTCTGAAAATAAGGGAACTCTTATTACTGAAAATTACCACTCTCTGAAAGTTGATAGGTCTGTCTGTAAGTCTTCAAATTCTCCCTTACAATTGTTTTTTCTCTTTATTATATGAGCATGCCTAAGTCTTCATTATCCTAAAATTAAGAGGCAAAGGAAAGCTTTCCTGAATCTTGCTTCCTGTTCACTGTATTATTTTCTCTGTTTCCATTCCTAGCCTGAAAACTACAGGGCAGGGACCATGCCATAGTTTTTATGACTCTCACCTACTGAATGGTACATAATAGGCATTCAAATATGAACTAATGAAGTAATATCTGAAGCTAATTATCTATTCTGTCATTACTTCATTAAACCCAAATACTCTTACCTCTTAGTCTACTGGAACATTCTCTGAGTGTCTCCAGTGACTCAGCAGGAGGTGATTGGGAGTGCTGGCTCTGGGATGTTGGCAAAGTTACTTGACATGGCTACAGCTCAGTTGCCTCTTTTGTAGAATGGGGGATTGTGTGGATTCAATGATTTACTATATGTAAGCACTAATCACACTGCATGGGAAACAACAAGCACTCAAATGTTAGGTGATGTCATTATTATTATTATTACTACTACTATTATTATTGGACTTGCTCTGTAGTGCAGTTCTAACATTACTGACAATTTGATGAATTTTATGATCTATACTATTAGTAGAGAAGCAGGTATCTTTAATCTTAAATTTCTAATTGAAGTCTTATGAAATTCAAATAAAGAGAGCAGAACTTAAGCAATTAAAATTCAGTTCTTTCACAGCTTGCCCAGGGACTAAGTCAGGAAATTCTTACCCAAGCAAGAAAAGCCTCAAGCAGAAGATGGAAAAAATAGCCTTGGCTAACACGTAAGTGAAAGCTCACAAACTTGTCTATCACAGGTTGCCTTGTATAACTCACAGGATTATAACAGTATTCAAATTAGATCAGTTATGTAAACATGCTTTGTAACCATAAAGTGGTTATTATTAGTTTCTTTTGTAAATAGAACAAAATTAACAAGTTATGAGACACGTGAATGAAGTTGGGTGTCTAATAGGTGTCTCACATTTCACATGTTTGAAGCCTAAATCTTATTCCTTCTCCCATCCTCAACCTATTCCTCACCATCTTAGTAAGTGGTAGTACCCTTTATGCAGTTGTTCCAGCCCCAAATCTGAGAGTCACATTTGACCCTTTTTTTTTCACTCTTTTGCCACAACCATATGTCAACATTTTTATTAGTTCAAGGTTAAAATTTTGAACACTTCCATTACAAGCATCCTAGCCCAAGTCTCCATAATCTCTCATAACCTACATAATATTCACTCAAGCCTCATTGTTTCTAATCTTATCAACTATAGTCTAAGTTTCCCTACAGCAGCTAGAGTGATCCTTTCCAAGGGTTAACTTAGATCATATTTTTCTACTCAAAACTCTCCAACGGGTTTCCCTTCATTTGAAGTTGATTTTGTATTAATTCCTTGCACACTATATAAATCTCCACTGAATCTGCAGTACGTCCCCCATGTACTTCTCCGGCCTCACATCCCAGCATCCTCCCCTACCTCACTCTGCTCTAGACAGAGGTCTTCCTGCTGCTCTTTGACCACATCAAATACAATTCTGCCCTCAGAGCTTTTTGTACTTACAGCACCCGCTGCCTATAATATTCTTCATGTAGGTATTTAAATGGCAGTCTTTCTTCATTCAGAATTCTGCCCAAATTTCCTTCCTTAGAGGCCTTCCTAAACACCCTGCCTAATGTAGAACTGACATCAGTCTCTATTTCCCTACACTACTCCATTTTCCTCATAGCACTTTTCATTATATAGGGGAAGAAAAATAAACACAAACTTCATGAGCATAGATACTTTGAAGTTTATTCATCTCTGTATCCCCAGCCCCTAGAAAGTGCTTGGCACTTTGTAGGTACTCAATATATATTTCCTTAATGAAAGAATGAATATTATGGTTTTGAAGTTTAAAAGAATTAAGCATTATATTTCATTCCAGTGTCTCTTCAGACTTAGTGTAATATTCTTTATTACTTGAATCATACTTGCCTTCTCTGTTAAGGTAAAACTTACAAATGCCTGAGATTATCTTTCTCTTATCCAATACCTAATATTAAAGTCTTTTTTTAGAATCTAGGACTATACAACTTAAAGAAAATGTGGAACCCTGATTAATATTTTGAAGAAAGAAATTAAAGGTCAAAAAATAGATCCTGTGATTTTTTAAAAATACTAACAACATAGTGTTTGAAATTTCTTCTTGGTTATCATTGTACAGCAACATCTGAAAGGAGAATGACTATATGAGCAAGATTTGCAGGCAATGGAGAAACCAAGACATTCTTCTTAATGTTAATATACCATGCAACAAGCAATAAGGTGCCTAGGAATCAGAAGATAACCAAACTAATAATATAGCAAAAGCTAGACTTTCGGGAAGGCTAAGAATGCTTAAATACTCCAAACAGCAACCACAATCTTCTCACTTTTATATGTACTTTGCCCTACCCAGTTTGCCTGCTTGCACTCAAATGGACCCTAGAGAAACAGATTTGTGATGATAGCAGTGGGAATAGAATCAAGGTCAATGTCTGTGGCTAGGCCAGTTAAAAACTTGACAAGAAAGCTAACGGTCCATGTATACACATTGAGCCGTTCTTTGCCAAAATTATATATTCTATCCTCTTGGCACGGTCCTGAAGGGGCCTCCGGTATTTTGTGTTTTAAATCAAAACTGGATTTTTTTGTAGCACTTTAAAATCTTAGTCACTAAAGCATATTCCAATTGGAATTGTTGCATCCAACTTTGCAAAAGCTCTGTTTTAAGTAGTTTCAACTGAAAAAGTTTATTATTCGAACTCTAAAAATGAACAAATTGATACACAATGACAGAGGCATTTGAATGATGAGTGATTTTTATTTGGCTTGTACATTCTACTTCCAGTCTGCGAGTTTCCCCGCCCCCCAAAAAAAAGCCTGGCTGAAAAACAGTCATAATTTATGTATACTTTTATAACGGGCTCCAACAAAAAGTGTCAGCCTTTTTTCAGATTTTCACTTTCATAGACATTAAACTTCCACATTAAACCCGTTCACTCTCCCCTACCTTCTGAAACAATTTCAATGTCGATCTCTTTCGGCATGTCGTGCCAGGAGATCATTAAATTAAATCTGGACTTCTTTCCAGACCACCGATGCTGTGATGGTCCATTTCCAGAATCTGGCAGCAAGGCGGTTACCGTTAGGAGCCTTTGAAATGGGGACCTTGTAAGCAGGGAAATGGCAAGGGAGACGACAGCAGAGGGACTGGCAAGAAGCATCATGGAGTGGGTGGGAGAACACAGAGCAAAGAAAGTTTCCACTTCAAAACTTTTTTAAAGAGATGGTGCTTGGGGATAGCGATGCTCCAGAAAGACTTACAGCTCAAACCCCACATCAAGATTTGGTAGTTAACACCTCTTACCCTGAATTATCCATCCCCGGGGCATCGAATCAGAATCCCCACGTGGCGTTTGCCTGTATCTAGAGATTTTGCATCTCACTGACTTTCATCACTCTCAACCCCACCACGAAAACATCCTCATAAAAACGGAGGTAGACCTCACTCCGACTCCAACGCCCAATTCCGCTTTCCCCGCCTGCCAACACTGGGGTCCCCTGGGCCTCGGCGGCTCGCGTCCGCAGCCTGCCCTCAGCCCCGCGCTGTAGAGCCGCCGGCGCCTCCGATTGGCTGCCTGGTCACTCTTTTGCCACAACCATATGTCAACATTTTTATTAGTTCAAGGTTAAAATTTTGAACACTTCCATTACAAGCATCCTAGCCCAAGTCTCCATAATCTCTCATAACCTACATAATATTCACTCAAGCCTCATTGTTTCTAATCTTATCAACTATAGTCTAAGTTTCCCTACAGCAGCTAGAGTGATCCTTTCCAAGGGTTAACTTAGATCATATTTTTCTACTCAAAACTCTCCAACGGGTTTCCCTTCATTTGAAGTTGATTTTGTATTAATTCCTTGCACACTATATAAATCTCCACTGAATCTGCAGTACGTCCCCCATGTACTTCTCCGGCCTCACATCCCAGCATCCTCCCCTACCTCACTCTGCTCTAGACAGAGGTCTTCCTGCTGCTCTTTGACCACATCAAATACAATTCTGCCCTCAGAGCTTTTTGTACTTACAGCACCCGCTGCCTATAATATTCTTCATGTAGGTATTTAAATGGCAGTCTTTCTTCATTCAGAATTCTGCCCAAATTTCCTTCCTTAGAGGCCTTCCTAAACACCCTGCCTAATGTAGAACTGACATCAGTCTCTATTTCCCTACACTACTCCATTTTCCTCATAGCACTTTTCATTATATAGGGGAAGAAAAATAAACACAAACTTCATGAGCATAGATACTTTGAAGTTTATTCATCTCTGTATCCCCAGCCCCTAGAAAGTGCTTGGCACTTTGTAGGTACTCAATATATATTTCCTTAATGAAAGAATGAATATTATGGTTTTGAAGTTTAAAAGAATTAAGCATTATATTTCATTCCAGTGTCTCTTCAGACTTAGTGTAATATTCTTTATTACTTGAATCATACTTGCCTTCTCTGTTAAGGTAAAACTTACAAATGCCTGAGATTATCTTTCTCTTATCCAATACCTAATATTAAAGTCTTTTTTTAGAATCTAGGACTATACAACTTAAAGAAAATGTGGAACCCTGATTAATATTTTGAAGAAAGAAATTAAAGGTCAAAAAATAGATCCTGTGATTTTTTAAAAATACTAACAACATAGTGTTTGAAATTTCTTCTTGGTTATCATTGTACAGCAACATCTGAAAGGAGAATGACTATATGAGCAAGATTTGCAGGCAATGGAGAAACCAAGACATTCTTCTTAATGTTAATATACCATGCAACAAGCAATAAGGTGCCTAGGAATCAGAAGATAACCAAACTAATAATATAGCAAAAGCTAGACTTTCGGGAAGGCTAAGAATGCTTAAATACTCCAAACAGCAACCACAATCTTCTCACTTTTATATGTACTTTGCCCTACCCAGTTTGCCTGCTTGCACTCAAATGGACCCTAGAGAAACAGATTTGTGATGATAGCAGTGGGAATAGAATCAAGGTCAATGTCTGTGGCTAGGCCAGTTAAAAACTTGACAAGAAAGCTAACGGTCCATGTATACACATTGAGCCGTTCTTTGCCAAAATTATATATTCTATCCTCTTGGCACGGTCCTGAAGGGGCCTCCGGTATTTTGTGTTTTAAATCAAAACTGGATTTTTTTGTAGCACTTTAAAATCTTAGTCACTAAAGCATATTCCAATTGGAATTGTTGCATCCAACTTTGCAAAAGCTCTGTTTTAAGTAGTTTCAACTGAAAAAGTTTATTATTCGAACTCTAAAAATGAACAAATTGATACACAATGACAGAGGCATTTGAATGATGAGTGATTTTTATTTGGCTTGTACATTCTACTTCCAGTCTGCGAGTTTCCCCGCCCCCCAAAAAAAAGCCTGGCTGAAAAACAGTCATAATTTATGTATACTTTTATAACGGGCTCCAACAAAAAGTGTCAGCCTTTTTTCAGATTTTCACTTTCATAGACATTAAACTTCCACATTAAACCCGTTCACTCTCCCCTACCTTCTGAAACAATTTCAATGTCGATCTCTTTCGGCATGTCGTGCCAGGAGATCATTAAATTAAATCTGGACTTCTTTCCAGACCACCGATGCTGTGATGGTCCATTTCCAGAATCTGGCAGCAAGGCGGTTACCGTTAGGAGCCTTTGAAATGGGGACCTTGTAAGCAGGGAAATGGCAAGGGAGACGACAGCAGAGGGACTGGCAAGAAGCATCATGGAGTGGGTGGGAGAACACAGAGCAAAGAAAGTTTCCACTTCAAAACTTTTTTAAAGAGATGGTGCTTGGGGATAGCGATGCTCCAGAAAGACTTACAGCTCAAACCCCACATCAAGATTTGGTAGTTAACACCTCTTACCCTGAATTATCCATCCCCGGGGCATCGAATCAGAATCCCCACGTGGCGTTTGCCTGTATCTAGAGATTTTGCATCTCACTGACTTTCATCACTCTCAACCCCACCACGAAAACATCCTCATAAAAACGGAGGTAGACCTCACTCCGACTCCAACGCCCAATTCCGCTTTCCCCGCCTGCCAACACTGGGGTCCCCTGGGCCTCGGCGGCTCGCGTCCGCAGCCTGCCCTCAGCCCCGCGCTGTAGAGCCGCCGGCGCCTCCGATTGGCTGCCTGGAATGCACTGTCCCGCCCCCGACACCGTGGTTTCTGTCGCGAGGGACGCGGCGTTAGTGGTTGTCAAGATGGCGGCGGCGGCTCCGCTGCCACCGCCCCCTCTACCACCGCCAGGCAAGGTCGCCGCCGCAGCTGCCGTCGCCACCACAGCCTCCATCGCCGCTGCGCGGGAGCCGGAGCTGCCGTGGCCAGTCCGTGCGCACCCGTGACGCGGGGCCCGAGACGGTGTGCGGGGAGTGCCGGAGGAGGGGGGAAGCGGAGCTGCCATGCAGGAGGCGCCAGAGGCGAGCCGGGCGGCGGCGCGGAGGTGAAAGATGCTGGCCGCGAGGCCGGGGGCGCGCAGCACGGGCGCAGGTCTGGGCCCCGAGTCCTCGGAACCCCGCGACAGAGCTCGCCTCGGCCCTCGGGGGAGCGGCGGGGGTCACCGGCCTGGCGCCTACCTGTATCCTTACAGCCGCGGCTGCCCGGGTGGCGGCGCTGGGGGCGGGGCCCGTCTCTGCTCCTTGAGATTCCCGTTTACCCCTGACGCAAGGTGATGGGGGCTAGCTGGTGGCTTTAGTGGGGATATTTGCTTTAGTAGCTCTCGTTGCACCCCTTAGACCTGAAACCATCCCATTTTAACCTATTCTATGACGGCTTTCCCCATCATGTTGTTGTCCCACTCCCATCCTTCAAATTGAGTGTAAAATTTTTCCCAGTTTTAAGATGCATCAACTGCGTGCTCTGTGGAGATTGTTTTCTTTCCTTCTAGAATTAAGCCATTATGTTCATTATCTTATCCACCTCCTGATCATTCATACTACTTGGAAAGAAGAATTCCACAAATAAGTAAATGCTTTGCTACCTACGAGTCCGTTTTAACAGTTAACCGAACACACCCCTAATTCAAGTGCCAGAGCTGCTAGAGCCTAGCACAGTTGGGTAATTTGTTTTGTTTTCCATTTTCTGCCCCAGTCTGTTGTCAGAGAGACAGCGGAGAGGAAATAAGAATCAAGGGACCTGAACACTTCACAGTGCATTATCTTTGACTTTTCCCTAAGAATTGGTCGAGCCCGCCTGTGATGTCGCTGTTGCTTGCACTGTACAAAATGAGGAGTGAAAGCGTTTCCTTTCAAAATATGTAAACCGCGTTTATTCCTTCAGAGAATATTAAGATAATTAAAATTTAACCTTTTTCTCCCAGAGGACTTGGTTGGCAGTAATGGTGCTTCATAATCATCTTCATTCTTGTCACAGAATGGAGTGTATTCTGTTTAAAAGTTAACCCCAATTTTCATATCCCCATTGTTTTCTACTTTTTCTGGGATGTTGAATTTTAACAGCAGGTCAACACAGTTTTAACTGACTGCTCTTTGGCCAACTCTGTTCTAGGTGCTGGGGAAACAAATCTAGTGAGAAGACAGACGTATACTGAGCTTCAGTAGGGTAAAACATCCCTCTTCTGATCATGGTTTCCTCAAGCTTCCATCTCCTCTGACTTTTCTTTCTTTGGCTAGTTTTCCAAATGGTAGATTGCAGTGGCACCTTCTAGTTCTTCTCATCTATTCATTATTAACCCCATTCGCTTTGGCTTTTGCCCTTGCTATTCCTCAAAACTATCCTCTCAAAGATGTATTCTGAAATAAACAGGGTTGTTTTCTGTATGGATTTGATTCTGTCCTCTTGACATTACATTTTCTTGAACACTGGAATTACAACTACACTGACCCTGATTTATTTCTAAATCAGAAAAACAGCAAAGCATTGTAAATGGCTCGTTGATAAAGTGTATCTTTCCATCACTTTCATTAATGAAATGGTCGTAGACTTAATTTTTAACATTGATGTGGTATGAATGTTGATACAAACATGAAAGAAAATATTTGTAAATAAAATTCAGTTGTACCCTCAATGAACAAAACCAAATAAACTTAATTCCAGAATTGCAATGATGGTTTCCTGTAAGGAAACATATTACTAAAAATATACTTAAATACTAAATATAAGGTTAAATTTAAGAAAGTTGTAAATGATCATCTCCATGGATGCCCAAGAGGCTTTGATACTACAACTTCTGCTAGTATGTGTATATAAACATATATTTTGCTAGTATCTGCATATATCTGCATATCTGTCTTTTTTTCTAGTTTATATATATTTTTTAATTGGGATAGAGGAATGCCTTTTGATCATAATGAAGGCTTTGACACTAAGGAATATCATTGTTACTAATAGCTAAGACACTTAAGAACCTTATTTTAGATGATCTTAGTGTCTGTAATGAAACCATTGGATATCTGGTAGTGTAGGTGCTCAAACTTATTGAATGAATACCTAAATAGGAAAAAAAAAGAAAAGAAGTGTAGTCTTAAAATAATGAAGTGGCTTGATAAAATTCCTACATATGATTTATCAATTATTAATTAACTACCGGAAGCCTTCCGGCTTTCTGTCAAAGATGTCTTTTCACTCAAGACAGAATTTCCTGAGTCTAAAATATAAAAGAACAAAACCTTGTAAAGTTCATGTGATTTAAATTAGCTAAATTTCTATCATTTTTATCTCTTATAAGAATTCAAATGGGAACAGAATAAAGTTTATTTAAAAAAAAAAGTTAAAGTTCTCTCATGTCCCTTCACATTATGCCTCTTTTTTCTCATAAATATCTTGTCTTTTCCCCATTTTATACCTCTTTGCCTCTCTTCTCTACCCAGTTTATACACTTTTCTTGATCGCACATATTTTCTCATCAATATCCTAGGTTCTTTGCACCCTCATTCTTCTGCCTCATCCACCCAGTAATTACTAGAGTCCTTCTTCTACTCCACTCAAATAATAAAAACACTGTCAGAGGAAAATAACAAAACAATATAGACTGGCATTACAGATTAATGGTTTCCAGCTTCACCTGAACAAGAAAAAGGTTCTCTGTTACTCCTCTTAGTGCCTGTGCCAGATCTTTATCGCCTCTCCACCTCTCAGTAGACTATCTTACTGCTTCATAAAACAGTTGATGCTATGAACTCTCTCAGGTCCATCCCAACAAATAATACAAATCCACATACTCCCAGCCACCATCCCCAACCTCCAAATTGATACCCCATCTTCTTGTCTAGGCTAACTGATGGGATATCATTTTTCACCTGGAAGGTGACTCCATTCACCTATACCCTTAGTTCTATTGCCTCTCTTCTCATCAGTAACCCTGGATTATAAACTATACTACTTTTCTTCTAATTTACTTTCAATTTCTCATGGCATTCTTTCCTTACAACTTATAATCATGCACAGATCTTGGTTATCCTTAAAATTAACTGAACTAACTCTGATCATAAGGACCCTTTTAACTATGCTCTAGTGTCCCATGTTGCCTTATTGAAAACTCTGAAAAGAGTAGTCTAAATTCAGTCTCTACCTTTAGTCACACTTTATACTGCATTGCAAAATAAACTTGAACTGATAAATAGGATAAATTTGAAAGGATAAATATAAAATACAAATATAAAATTGTAAAAGAAAACTGATAAAAAATAGAATTGAATATTTTTCATGTTTTTGAAAAAATAATGTTTACCTTTTGACAAAAAAGAAACTTTAAAGGAAAAATATTTCAAAAATAACTCAATTTAAAACTTTAGTGTGAAGACATTATGTGAATAGAACAAACTATCAAGAAAATAACACTAACTATAAGAGGATTAATATCTACACTATTCTATCTCTGTTAAATTTATTAAAATTGATTTTTTGTAAATGCAGTTCTCAATAGATGAATAGCTAGTGACTGTAAACAGTTCACTAAAGACAAAAATAAAAATCAATAAACATGGAAAGTATTCTATTTTACTGATACATACATAATAAAAGAAGATTTTCTACCTGGTCTCTCTGGAAAAGAAAAAAAATGTACTACCCTAACTCATGAGGTTTTGAAACTAACACATGTACATTTCTAATAGCAAATTTATATGATCTTTTTAGAAACCAATTTGTCTACAAGGCACTAAAAGCTATAAAAATGTATATCTTTTGTTCTGTATCTCTACGAAGAATTTTTCCAAGGAAATCATTCAGCAAGCTTTTATTAAGCCATTACTATATTCCAAGCACCGAGCCAGGTACTGGAGTTATAGAAATGTAGAGGAGACACATACTATCTGATGTACTCATGATGGTGTCATGTCATCCAGTAGGGGTTAGAAAACAAAGGAGGAACTACCTGAGGTGGCCCTCAAAGGATGATTCAGGTTAGGTGGGCATGTGCTGGGAGATAATGGCATGACACGTCATGGTTTGTTCTATTAATAAGTATCTTTGTGTGGGTAGGCATAGGATTCATGTAGGGAAATGATGAGAAATGAAGTTAAAAAATAAGACTATTCTAGTACATGAAGTGCTTTATATACTAGGCCAAGAAATTTATAATTTATTGTGAAGGTGGTTTGGAACCTTTAGAGACTAACAAAGAATGAAAAACCCAATCAGATTTGCATTTAGCTGGCTTTTGGAGGTTCAAATGAATGAAAACACATGCATTCTCCTTATCTGACTGCATGATGTCTTAAAGTATTTTTTTCCCCAGGGAGAGAGAGATATATCTTCAGTTCTAATACTGCCACTCATATAACATTAATGTGTATACATATTAGTTCCACAAAAAAATCATCCATCATTAGTATGAGGTTGTAATTATATTTATCAGATAGCACTGGCATCCACCAAACACATAAGCCATTGACCTTAACTGTATACTATCATTAGCGACATGAAAACCTATCTGGAGAAAAATTTAGAAGAAGAACGCCAAATATTATTGCAGGAACAAAAAATATGCCGAAATCGAGCACGCAAATATTTTGTGGAATCAAACCGGAGAAAAAAGTAAGTAATTGTATTTTATTCGCAAGTATAGCAATTCAAAGTCATTGAAAATTAATGTTCTCTACTTTGAAGCATTTTATGAACCTAAGTCATGACATTGGTTCATCTATATAATACTGATCAGGATTTGTGCATCTGTAAATTACTGCTTTTCTGCCTAAGGCATGAGAATAATTGTATATTGTCTAGTTCCACTGACTGTGACCATAGCAGTCTTGCATAGAATTTATTATTACAGTGTCTCATATATGCTTCTTAAAATGACCATAAAATGTGTTATCTTTTTTTGGTATCATTTTATAATAAAGTATTTAATCTCTGATAGAGTGTAATTTGATTTTACTTTATTATTCATTTCTGTATAATTTTTCTATCTGTGCTACCCTCATCATCCAACCAGAAAAATGGGGGAAAATATGAATAATGGTAGAATATTATAAAAAGAATTTTATAACTGACTGCCATAAAAAAAGAGCTTTCTAATGTAAACTGGCAACCAAAACAAAAATGCAAACCATCCAGTCACTGCTTAACATTTCTCAAGACTTGTTTAAATTATTAGATTTTTTTTTCTTTCTGGACAGAGTAGTTATGCCATTTTTTACTGTTGTTTTGCTACCTTGTCTCTATTTCTACAATGCATGAATAGCAGAAAATCCCTAGAGTTTATTAACTACATCATTGGGCATATGTAGCAAATCCCATTGGGGGAGTACAAAATTGTTTACCTGTAGTTTTTTTCTGGCATTATATTTCTCTTCAGATTAACTATTTCATTGGCTGGTGTAGTTGAAGTTATTTAGTGAAGCTTGTTTTTGTATTTGTGTGTCACTGCTTTTCTCCGACCTTTTGGCTCCTGAGCCTGTAAAAGGCACATGATAGGTGTTCAATAAGCGTGAATATTCATATGTTGAAAGGATTATGGACTTGGAGTTAGAGATCTAGGTTTAAATCCTTGCTCCATGAAGTAGAGCAAGTTATTTAATTTCATTGAGCCTCAGTTTCTCATTTATGATTGGAATTAGCATCTATTTCAAGGAATTGTTATGTAGAGCAGAAAAGGTAATAGTAGAGAGGAATAGTTGAGAACATATGTAAAAATATTTATCAGTGTCTGGCACTGCTTACTAAGTTTGTTTTTTAATAATTAATATTTGTCTATTGTGTGTTTTCTAATAATTGACTTGTTCTATGAAATGGCAAGATTTATATATGGAATTTGAGTCATGAAGTTCCTAGATGTCTTCTCTTATCAAATGCATGAGAATTCTGATGTAGAGAGAACAGAAATTTTAGTTTAAAATTTTAAGAGGCAGAATATTTTTCTAAAAAATTCCATTATGCTTTATTTTTCTGTTATCCTACAGTTCTGTATAAAAAATATAAAAATTTATTTTAAACACTAATCATTTGTCTCTATATTTCACATTTTATTAAGGGGACCAAATTATTTGTACACTTCTGAATTTCAGAATATACCTATCATTATACCCCTTTTGGCCTTGCCATTATTGGTCTATTTATGCTTTACACCATCTAAGTTTATACTGTCCACTCACATTAAGGTCCTAGAGTTTTTCTTTAAAAAAAAGTATTTATTCCTGGAAATACAGATAGTCTCCTTCTACTATACGTGAGTTATATTTTGACATTGTCAGTGCTGTGTCTTCAGAAGTACTAACAGGAAAATGTTCACAGCACAAAGCACTCTTCGTTTATTTCCATTAATTACTTAAAATCACACATATATTTATTTTCTTGTTATTTATTACTGTTTTCCTTTTCTGTTTGCCAGTGTTTTTCTTACATTCTCATGTTTTCCATTCTCACTCAGTGTTACTTGCCCTCCAAGGTCTCTTCCTCCGCCAATAGATGCTGCTCCAACAGGTGCTGGTTACGTTTTAGGCTTACTGCACAACTGGAATTCTGGGACTTACTGTTTTTGATCTTAGGAGTTGGACCAAAGTTTCTTGCCTCCCACAACATCCCTGTTTTATACCATTACTTTGTTGGAGTAAACTAATTTTCTAGTACTTTTCTAACGTACTGCTTTATTGACCAAATAATTTTAAGATACACACACATACAAAGGAAATTAACTTATTTCCTACATTTTGTAAATTTTCATTTTAGAACTCTTTTGGTCAATAACAATTGTTATTAAACATTTTATCATGAGAAAATTTTATTTTGATAATGTATTCTACTAGTAAACTTTAGGAATGGCAATAATCTGATTCAGGGTGACTTGAAAATAAATTGAAATCCATTTTAAGAAGAGCTCTGAAGGAGACTTCATATAGTGGGGGGGTTTTTTCAGTGTGTTTTCATTTTATTTTGTTTTTTTAGATTCCAGAAATGAGTGAAATCATTGTAACAGGTGATATCTTGTTGTGATTTTTATTTGAATTTCCCTGTTTAAGCATCTTTTCATGGGCTTATTGACCATCTGTTTATCTTCTTCGAAGAAATGTCTTTTCATATCCTCTGCCTATTTTTTAATCAGGTTGTTTTTTTTTTCTGCTGTTGAGTTGTATGAGTTCTTTAAATATATTTTGGATATTAACCCCCTAACAGATACATGGTTTGCAGATATCTTCTCCTATTCACTAGGTTGCCTTTTCACTTTTATGATTGTTTATTTTACTGTACAGAAGCTTTTTAGTTTGGGTTGTGCCATTTGTTTATTTTTGCTTTTGTTTCCTTTGTCTTTCAAGTCACATTCCCAAAGACATCACTAAGACTAATGTCAAGGAGCTTAACAATTATGTTTTCTTCTAGGAATTTTATGGTTTCAGGTCTTAAATTCAAGTCTTTAATTCCATTTTGAGTTCATTTTTGTGTATGGTATAACATAGTGTCTACTTTCATTCTTTTGCATGTGACTATCCAGTTTTCCTAGCACCATTTATTAAAGAGACTGTCCTTTCTGCATTGTATATTCTTTTCTCTTTTGTCATAGATTAATTGTCCATATATAACTGGGTTTATATCTGGGCCCTCAGTTCTGTTACACTGATCTATGTGTCTGTTTTTGTACTAATACCATACTACTTTGATTATAGTAGCTTTATAGTCTAGTTTGAAATCAGAGCACATGATACTTCTATCTTTGTTCTTCATCAAGACTGTTTTGACTATTAGAGATCTTCTGTCATTCCATATAGATTTTAGAATTATTAATTCTAGTTCTGTGAAGTATACCATTGGAATTTGATAAGCATTGCATTGAATCTGTGGATTGCTTTGGGTAATATGAACAATTTAACAGTATTCTTCCAATCCATGAGCATGGAATCGTTTTTCATTTATTTATATCATCTTCAATTTCTTCCATTGATGTATTATAGTTTTAGAATACATATCTTTCACCTCCTTGGTTAAATTTATTCCTAGGTGTTTTATTCTTTTGGATGCAATTATAAATAGGATTGTTTTCTTAATTTCTCTTTCTACTGTTTCATTATAGGTATGTAGAAATGCAACAGATTTCTATATATTGATTTTTGTATTCTACAATTTTACTGAATTAATTATAATAGTTTTTTGGTGCTCTTTAGGGTTTTCTGTATTTAGTATCATGTCATCTGCAAATAGTGACAATTTTACTTCTTATCAATTTGGATGCCTTTTATTTTTTTCTTTTAATATTTTATTGAAGTATAGTTGATATATATTATTATATTGGTTTCAAATGTACAACATAGTGATTCAACAATTATCTACACTATTAAAGCCTCACCCCAGCTAGTGTACTGTCAACATAGAAAGATATTATAGAACTATTGACTATATTGTCTATGCTGTACTTTCATTCCCATGACTAATTTATGTTATGATTGAGATTCTGTGCCTTTTCATCACTTTCACCTATTTCATTCCCTCACCCCAACCCCTCTCCCATTGTAACCACCAGTCACTTTTCCATGTCTTAAGAGTCTACTTCTATTTTGTTCATTTTGTTTTGTTTTGTTTTGTTTTTAGATTCCACATGTAAGTGAAATCACACAGTATTTGTCCATCTCTACAGGCTTGTTTCACTTAACATAATGCCCTCTATGTCCATCCATGTTGTCACAAATGGAAGGATTTTTGTCTTTTTTATGGTTGAATAATATTCCATTGTGTATTAGTACCACATCTTCTTTATCCATTTATCTACTGACAGACACTGGTTGCTTCTGTATTTTGACTGTTGTAAATAATGTGGCAATAAACAGGGGTGCATATATCTTTCAAATCAGAGATTTTGTTTGAGTAAATTCCTAAGAGTAGAATTACTGAGTCATATGGTATTTCTATTTTTAGTTTTTTGAGGAACCTCCATACTGTTTTCCATAGTGGCTGCACCAATTTACATTCCCATCAACAGTGTAGGAGGGCTCCTTTTTCTCCACATCCTCACCAACAGTTATTGTCTTTTGGATAATGGCTATTCTGACTGATGTGAGGTAATACGCATTTGCATTTCACTGATGATTGCTGTGGCTAGGACTTCCAGTAGTATGTTCAGTAAGAATGGTGAGACTGGCCCTCCTTGTCTTGTTCCTGATCTTAGAGGAATAGCTTTCAACTTTTCCCTGTTGAGTATGATGTTGGCTATAGGCTTATTGTATACAGCCTTTAATATGTTGAGGTATGTTTCTTCTATACCTACTCTGTTGAGGGTTTTTATCATGAATGGATGTTAGATTTTCTCAAATGCTTTTTCAGCATCTATTGAAATGATCATATGGTTTTATCCTTCCTTTTGTTAATGTGGTTGATTTGTGGATGTTGAACCATCTCTGCATCTGTCCCTAGAAAAATCCCATTTGGTTGTGGTGAATAATCTTTTTAAAGTATTTTTTTAATTCCATATGATAATATTTTGTTGAATATTTTTGCATATATGTTCAAAATGGATATGGTCTGTAACTTTTTTTGCAGTGTGTCTGGTTCTGGTATTAGGGTGACACTGTGCTCATAGAATGAATTTGGAAGCTTTCTTTCCTCTTCAA